AGAAACAAAATTCAGGCATCCACGCAACCGTCGGTTGCGCTGGCCTCTGTGCGTGCACCGATCACTCTCTGTATTGCAACGAGACGGCGCGGAAATCGGGCAGCTGTTCCCCAGGACCGGCACCTCTCAGCATAATTTTCCTTAGTTACGACTCTGTTCTTTTAACGGAGTCGCCCCTAAGTGTCCTCTGCCCAAAGACAGAGACGCAACTGAGAGATGATAAGTAACGTGTTACAAACCACTTGAGAGAGAGTAATTTATGCCTAATTAACAAGAGTGCTAATGTTTTATAGAGGTGTGTGTGTGCGACGTGGGGAGCGATGGCAACATCTGGTTTCGATCAGTAAATTCGCGGGACATGTTTTACACCCTCTGAACAGATTCTTCAAAAACATTTTCTAAAAGTACATAAGTATTTACTATTGTATAAACAGATTACTTATAATGTTGAAAATATGGCAACATTTTTCTCGAGAGTATTTTGAAGTTCTTGATAGTGAAGTCAAAGATAAATTTATTACTAGTGGAAACCTTCTGAAAACGTGACGATCATCTATTTATATTCACACGTTAATTCACTGGGTGAGTAAAGCCAATTGTTGAATTTTGTCTTCAATAAAATGTTTTTCTAAAATGATTTATCCGAGAATCACTTGAGACGGTGTTAAATACGGCTTACCTTAAAAGAAATATGAAACATATATACTTTTTGTTACATTTTAACAGTGAAAAAAACAAAAAAACAAAATTGTATGAGAAAAGTGCGTCGTAATTTTTCTCTATGCTTTATGATGTTGTACAAAGAAGATCATACGATATCCTTTCGAAATATTTTCTCAGAATGATGTTCAGTTTGTTACGTGCCGTACGATTCTTTCTCTTGTAAATTGGAATTGTTTACTTAACGACCGTACAATGACGATCTACTATTTCCAACAAAATATAACAGAAATAAGACGAAAGAAGAAAATGAATAATAAATGACTCTAATTCGACTAAATGAATTCGAATATTATTACATCCAGTACTACTAGTAGAAATATGTAAGCAAATATTCGTTTGGAGAAATAAAGAACCTATCTATATGTTTTGAATGGGACCGAAATAGTTGGTCTTTATAGCCTTATCAATAAGACAACGGTACAAAAAGACAATCTTACTAAGGATAAGAATTTTTATTCTTTATTCCCGATCAGCTATGCTTAAATTAACGATCGTAGAAAGTCGATCGAAGTATTACAAAAGTGAAAGGAAAGAAATCCTAATGGATATTTTTGAATGACAGACGACTTTTTTATTCTAACGAAAACAGGGACAATGATTATTTCAATAAGAATCATAAGAAAACAGGAAACTGTTTCTTTTGAATTTACGTTAACAAAATGTTCTTCGGTTGAGACTATAACTTTACAAAGATTAATGGAACACTAGGTCATGAAATAGTTAACAAGTTAATGTCGGACACAATTACTACTGTAGTGAGGTCAATCCTCACTGATGTTTTAAACATGAGGCCTTATACTGAGCTTTGTATATATCAGTGATGAACGCTTCTTCTCAATATACAAAATATGGTTGCCATATATTGCATGTTCTTTCACTAAACGATCCCAACAGCACTTCCACTCCATTGTGCATACTTATATATTTATATACTTGAATTATATTTTGTCATTTTCTTAATACGTTGTGCGTGTCACAAATGTTACGTGATTAGAAATATAATAAACAAGAGCCAAGCAATAAAGGAATCGCTTTGAATCGTTTAAATTTAATGTATTTTAAACAAATTTAGGTGAAAAATAGACAAAGAAAAACATTGTGTTTAAAGAACTTACTTTGAAAAAATCTTTTGTGATGGGCTTTTACTCCGGATGTTCAGTTAATTGGTACGCTGAAAATATAATAATAATAATAATAATAATAATAATAATAATAATAATAATAATAAACTTATAACAATAAAACTATCAAAATACAAGGATTTATAATGCAAATTTCTACAGTGTGGCAGATGAAAACATAAAAAAGTTACAGTCATATTCGGGTCTCTGTGATTGAAAAAACGTTTTGAGAGACTTCTTGAAGGTATGTTTGGCAGAAGAAGTGCTAAAAAAGATGGTTCTTACACTCACATCTGACATCCTAAGAAAGATATTATCTATGTAAAAATGTGAATGCGTTTGTATTTATTTTAATTAAAAATGCGCAGGGGATAATATCATGGTACCATTTCAGACCTGGTTGAAACCCGAGAGAAAATACAGAAATAAAAAAAAATCAGAAGGTATGTGAGAATGCTGCTATGTTGTATACAAAATTTTAAAGCACAGTGTTACAAAGGAAACATAGAATATGTCCTATTATCAGAGAAAATATAGATACTCACAAGTGTAAAAAAGCATTATTAAAGGAAAATAGGTAAGTATTGTAGAGTTCATTCAAGTTGAATAATAATTTTTTATTATCGAATATGAGACTTGAAAATGGAGACGCAAAAATGCAGTTTGGTAAATGTAGGTGAAAGTAAACAAGAAAAGAATAGAAATAAGAAAATACGTGAAGGAATTAGAAAAACCAGAAATCAGGAAGTTGAACGAATAAAAACACGAGAACTATTAAAGTAACAAACAACTAAAATAAAAACAGAAAAACTGAACAATGGTAGCAAGGTAAAAACACGATTAGAATAGTCAATAAAGCAATTAAAGAAATAGCAAAAACTGTTGATTCGAATATAACCACTTAAAATAAAGTTATGGACAATACATTAGTAGTCATAGTATCAATACACAATAGAAGTAAATAGAAATTAACATTTTGGCAACGAGAGATAAAGGGCGACAACTGTCACTATGAGATGAATTAGCAAAGGAATACAAAAGATTAACGAATCTGTGATAGTTAACTTTATAATAACTCAAAAGTGAATCTAACCGCTTATAGAGAATCCTTATCACA